GTGCATATGACCCCTCCCCCCAAAAATCTGCATGCATGCTTTATTATTTGTGTATGTAAACACATCATTGTTTATTCTTTTTTTTTCCTTTTCAGAATGTACAAATTTCTTTGCATCCTGAGCTCCGTGGACATCAGAAATACAAGGTTGTTTTTTTTTTGTAAACTGTGTGACAGAACTCAAGGTTTTACTATTTTGGTACCAAATAAGATCCGGAAGCTTTGCCTTCAGAAATACATTTGCAATAATTATGGATTTAAGGAAAGATTTTAAAATATGAAGACCAAGACTCTTGACCCAACTCTAGCTGATTCAAAATATATCATAATTATGAAACGAGTATTTCTTGTAACCCTCTCTAAACAATATCAGCATTTGTTCTTCACAGTGCTCCTCGGAGTATGTAGAAAACTGTGAAACAGGCGCACTTGTCTTATTTGAGTTGCTTTTGTGTCTTTTTAAAATACAGATGTGCGATTGCCATTAGCAGGGCACCATTTTTGCTTTAAAGACAAATCAGTCACATATAAGCTAGAGCTGGGTACCGTGTCGGTTTCATTGCAGCAAGACTACAAAAATTATACTGCACGACTAGAGTTATCCACAGGATCCGATGCTCCATCCAAAACGATGGAAGTGGTTTTGCACAAAGCTCTTCCTTTCATACGTGGCAGCAAAAGATGGGTTTCCACATCCTCCTCCCCCCGTGAGAATAAAAAGATAAAAATATTAATGAAGAAGATTTTTGGACAGAGAGAAACTAAGTTAAGATGAATTTAAAAATATACCCATTGTTGGAGCAAACCAGTTATGCCCCAAAATCTATCCACATGCTGTCACTCTCTAATAATTGCTTGCCATAATATATTCAGTAAAATTGTGCTATTTTAGTGCACACACCTGCCTCTGTATATGGATATTGAGGAAGGAAAATAAACAACTGACTCAAACTGTATGCCTAAACTTTTTTTAAAATAATTGAAATGCATATAAAATCTTGTAGAGTACAAGACAGAACCGATCAAAAGTGAAATATTCTGAAGTAGAATAACTTGCACATCCTTCCAGAGGTTGCTCATTAGCCCTTAAGAAACAGTTGATTTCCTTCCAGACATTGCTTGATATGCTCTGAAAGATTTTCCCCACCTTCTTCACCTTTTGACTAATAAATCACAGAGCTATCACATTTGGGTAGTAAAAATCCAAATAACCAACAGAGGGCAACAAAGGTATGGAAAACATGTCCATGTTGCTCTATAGACTTTGGCCACGTAGAGAGCGTAGTTCTAAACTGATACACCTAGTTCAAAGAACTTATCAGGAGTGGCTTCGTTAGTACGCCTACTTGATCACAATACAAATCTTTTCCAAATCCCTTTTTCCTGTTCTTATTTGTTTTGATTCATGCCTGAAACTAACCCAGCTGTATCCCAATTTAGGTTTCCCTCTGAAAGAATCACGAATGCAATTAGCAATATCAATCAAACCAAACCACTTAAATAAAATAAGGATAAGAATGGAAGGATATTTTTTCTTCCTATTGCAGGTCTTTATTATTACTTTGGCTGATTCTTTATGCAATCATTTCAGCCCAAATGCTTGTCGGGAAGTAGTAATGTAGTGTACAGGTGGCCTTTGACTTACAACAGGTTGGCTGGTGACTCTTCAAAGTCAAAATGGCCTGAAAAAAGTGACTTAAGACTGTTTTTCACATTCACACGTAACCATTGACCTATCCCTATGGCCATGTGATCAGAATCCAGACGTTTAGCAACTGGCATGTATCTATGGCAATTGCAGTGTCCCAAGGTCATCATGTGATCGCCTTTTGACAAGCAATGCCAACGAAAAGCCAGGTTCACTTAATAACCGTGTTACAAACCGAACGACTGCAGTGATTCATTTCACGATTAATGCAAGAAAGGTCATAAAATGGGGCAAAACTCACTTAACA